TCTTTACCAAAAATTAAAAATATGGGATACTATTTCGGAGTAGCCCACATAGAATGGTACCTCAATTATTCGGTGAATTTAGGCAGCTATGGTAGCTACCATATAATGATATTTTGAAGGTTATTGCAACATTTATTTTTGTAATTTCACATTGTGGGATTTTGGAGGCTGGCATAGGTGCAAATAATTATGAATCTAGGTCAAGGTTTGTACATGGTCCATATATAAAAAACGCAATATTTTTGGTATTTTTAATGTTTCAGCAGCACTCTCTGGGTTCTATTAGAGAACATATTTATGCGAACAATTGCCTCCGCAGCTCTATATTTGGACATACCCCCCATAAAAAAATGTTCGTCCAATGTGCACACTTTTAAGGTTTTAGAACCTTTTTCCCATCGAAGTGGCTGTAATTTTACCGTGAAAATAACAATATGAATATAACAATATGAATATATTATAATAATCGCGATAAAGTTGCACATCTTCGCGCAATATGAGAAAAATAAAAATAATATAGCAGATTACATCAATATTGTCATTACATTAATGACATACACACACCTAAAAATTAATTTATAACCAGTAAAGAAAGTAGAAAATGGATCCATAAACATGTCAATCTGCAACCTATACTTCTATTTTCATTTGGTCAGATATAGAAGCTATATCATTTGGTCAGATATAGAAGCTATATAATCTGAACCGATTTAACGATTTAAGGAAATTTAACACACATCATTCTAGACCTTATTCATTACGCTGTGCCAAATTTGGTCCAAACCGAAAGATATTAAGGGACTTTGGTACACCATTTACAAAAAAATCGGACGAAACTATATATGGGAGCTATATCTAAATCTGAACCGATTTTCATGAAACTCAGCACACATCATTCTAGGCCTAATTCATTACGCCATGCCAAATTTCGTGCAAATCGAAAGATATATAGGGACTTTGGTGCACCATTTACATAAAATCGGACGAAGCTATATATGGGAGCTATATCTCAATCTGAACCGATTTTCACGAAACTTAGCACACATCATTCTAGACTTAATTGAATACGATATGCCAAATTTCGTGCAAATCGAAAGATATATAGGGACTTTGGTGCACCATTTACATTAAATCCGATCATAAATGCGACCTGTACATTGTTCACAAAAATACATGGACGGACAGACGGACAGACGGACATGCGTAAATCGACTCAGAAAGTGATTCTATGCATATTCTCAAAAGGAACCATGTGTCTATCTCGTTTCCTTTTGCCTGTTACAAACATATGCACAAAGACATAATACCCTGTACCACAGTGTGGGGAAGGGTATAAATATCTACATAATCTAAACACCATGATGAGTCAAATGATATCAAAATCACACAAGTCCGTGTAGCGGTTTGTAAATCACAGCGACAACAAAACAAGAAATTGGGGAAAAATATTTGTTTTTGGTTCGAAAAAATAATGTCGTCATACATATGTATGTATTTACTTTTTTAATTTTATACAAGAAGTTTCAGAAAAAAATTTTTGGGTTATTCTGCTATTTCACCCACATTTCGCCGAAAAATTGACATATATAACAATCACTTTTTGTGTATAAGTATACGCCTTGCGGGTTATATCAAGACCGTTCCGATAAATCTTGGGGTTATATAAATAGGAATAAATAATAAAATAATATTATGAAATATACATTTTAAATTGCGTCTAAATCGCGTAATTCTCAAAATCATTTGATGCGCATGCGGTTTCCAGGAAGTACAGAAGTTTATCTTCCAATCCATATACATTTTGCGAAATTTCATTTGACGGCTAAGATGTGCCACACGTTGCATTGAAGTACCCTAAAAATCGTAAAACGCGAATAATTTCCGAAAACTCCATATGCCATTAACGCGCATCCGATTTCGGTGTGCACCGAAATGTGGTCCATTAAGAACCATGGATGTGCCAGCTCACATTATTTTTGAGATAAATTGGGTACATCTCTCTTTCGGCTGAAGTTTTTAAAAAGTTTTTAAAACATTTTTTGCCAAATTTCGGGTTTTTGGAAGATTAGATCCCGCCGTTCTAGTAGATGGATTTTCACCAAGAAGATTTTATATCATCCGAAACGTAAAAAACCTTATTGATCAAGGGTACCCATATCATTCAGTTGACAGATCTAAAAATTTGGCCCGAAAAATAGGTTTTTTAGAAATTGATCGCACAAAATTTTCACCATCGGATGAGTATTACTCTGATGGTGTGCATACTACATACAGATTCGCAGATTCGCGACTACAATAATCTTATAATCGATTTTTAGAAATTCCTGTTTGCGTATTAAAGCTAGAAGTAAAATTAAACAAGTGAAAAAGCGTTAAGTTCGGCCGGGCCAAACTTTGGATACCCTCCACCCTAGATATACTGGCAGGTATTTGAAATGAAAATGTAGGGAAAATACCAAAAAGTGGACCTATGCCGACATTTCTACAACGCGATTATGTAAACCGTAATGTGACCCATGTCCCAGAAAATTTAGATTTCATCCAACCTGTGCCTATCTTATTATTTCTTCCAAACTTAGTTCAGGTTCGAAGATGTGGACTATCGGTCCACTCCTTCTGATACCTCCCACACAGGGGCTAGGCCTAAATGCGGGTTATAGTTCATGTATAGTTCATTATAGGAAAAAGGGGGTTATATGGGGACTACCCCAAAATGGGGGCGAATATAAATAATTTTTGGTAGGGAGATTTGTTACCATATACGACTACCAAATACCAAATTGCAGCGAATTCGGTTGAAAAACGCGCTCAAGAACCCCAAAATACCGAATATTGGGGATACCCTTATATGGGGGATATCCGAAAAAATTGACCTATATTTATAATTTAATGTGGAGAGATTTGGTACTTATTAAGAACTCGAAATACTAAATTACAGCCAACTCTGTGGAAAAATACGATCAAAACCCCCCAAAATACTGAAAATTAGGAGGTAACGTTATATGGGGGCTACCAGAAAAAGTTGACCTATATTTATAATTTTTTGTAGGGACATTAAGTACCCAATAAGAACTCAATGTACCAAATTTCAGCGTATTCGGTTGAAAAACGCGCCCAAGAACCCCAAAATACCGAAAATTGGGGGGGTACTGTTAAATGGGAGATATGCCTAAACGTGGACCGATATATCCCATCTTTGAACTTTACCTGCCTGCAGACAAAAGACAACCCTATGCAAAATTTCAGCACCCTATCTCAATTCCTTCAGAAGATAGCGTGATTACAACCGACGGACAGACTGACGGACATGGCTAGATCGTCTTAGAATTTTACCCTGATCAAGAATATATACTTTATAGGGTCGGAAATGAATATTTCGATGAGTTACAAACGGTGGAGGGTATAAAAAAAACACTCAAAATCGAGCTTCAAAATGTCAGCATCATTTAAAGGTAGATCCAGTTAAAATTTTGAAAAATGATACATAAGGGGCGTAGTCCCCATTTTGTTGGCTTCTAGTTTTACTTTGACACGAAGATCGTGAAATGAGTGGTTTAATCACAAATCGATAAAGAACATAAAAAAACTGGTTCGCCTCAACCTGTTTTTACACATTTTTTACATTAAACCAGCTTCCACAAAAATAATGTTTGGAAGTCAATATCATGAACAGTTTGCAACGACAGATCAATTAACCCAAAACTATTCACTTTTTTCATATACTTAAGTAATTCCCGAGTTATAAAGGGGCGAACCTCCGCTTCAGCTATGTTAAAAAATTGGCAATATTGCCCATATATATGTAAACACATGGACCTAATTGAGCAACCGTACAATATACTATTTGCTTTTTGTTATCACTCTAAATTCAATTTAATACCCTCTGCTAAATTTCATGAAAATCGAGCAAACATAGGTCCTTCGGTCAACTATTTACATAAAATCGAACGAAAATATATATAAGACCTATATCAAAATCATAACCGACTTCAATAAATCTTATCACACATCATTTTTTCCTCAATTATATTCGCTATGCAACATTTTAATCAATCTGACAAATATTGCGAGTTTGATGTATCATTCACAAAAAAACGGACGAATCTATATATTCAGTAATCTGTGCAACATTTTTTCCCAATCGGACAAAAATTGGCAGTTTGGTGCATCATTCACATAAAATCGGACGAAACTATATATGGGGCTATATCTAAATCCTAAACGATTTTAACAAAACTTCACATACATAAGTATGGATCTGATTCTGTACTCTGTGCAAAATTTTGTCCCAATCGGACAAATATTGGGAGTTTGGTGCATTATTAACCTAAAATCGGAAGAATTTACATATGGGAGCTATATGTTTAAATCTGAACCGATTTTCTCCAATTTCAATAGGGTTCGTCCTTGGGCCAAATAAGTGAACTGTGCCAAATTTCATCCAAATCGGATCACAAATGCGACCTGTACTTTGTTCACAAAAATACATGGACGGACAGACGGACATGCATAAATCGACTCAGAAAGTGATTCTATGCATATTCTCAAAAGGAACCATGGAGCTATCTCGATTCTTTTTGTTACAAACATATGCACAAAAACATTGTGGTGACCAGGTTTTTGTATGTGTGACATATGACCAGGTTCTTGTAAGCAACAGACGGTTATTTGCTTCGAAGTGCTGCTTTCACCAACATTTTTGAAAGTCCTTTACGACCTCGGTCTTTGAGCAAACGACGACAACCAGATTTCACAGTGCTATAGAAGTTCAATGTTTCGACTGCAAATGTCAGATGTCGCCATGCAACTCTTGGTATTGATTAGATCAGAAATATATATAAAAAATCCCCGATATGTATGCCTCAAGCTATGATATCCCTAATGTCGTCATAATTCTCAAAATCCAAATACATTTTTTCAAAAATAATTCTTAAATTTATTAATAGATTAAACAAAAACTAATCAACAACGATTAACCACTAAGTTAACAATCAACCCGCTTACAAATTGCGGACAGCATAACCATAGTTGAAGGGAGCAGCTACATAGGGAGCGCTACGAACATAGGCAGGAGCAGCGGCAACTACGGGAGCAGCAGCTTTAACAAAGGGAGCTGTTGCTGAGTAGGTGACCGAAGAGCCGAAAGGAGCGGCAGGTACGAATGGAGCGGCTTTAACAACGGGGGCAGGTGCAAAGACTGGAGCTGGTCTGACTACTGGAGCTGGAGCAAAAACAGGAGCGGCAGCTCTAACAACGGGAGCAGGAGCGAATACTGGAGCTGGTCTGACTACTGGAGCAGGAGCAAAGACAGGGGCAGCAGCTCTTACAACTGGAGCAGCAGCAACTACGGGAGCGGCAGCCTTAACAACTGGGGCGGCAGCAACGACGGGAGCAGCAGCGACAATGGGTTCACGACGAACAACGGCATTGAAACCATTGATGGGATCGGCAACATAGGTAACAGTACGCTTGAAACCATCGGCATCAATTACAGTGTATTCACCGCGAACAACATCACCATCACGTTCCTCAACATGACCCTTGGAGTCACCGGAAATAGAGTCTTGGATATCATAACCGTATTTGTATTGTGGATGAGGATCGTATTCTTCAACAGCTACTGCCTTGGCCACAACAGGGGCACCGGGCACTACTACAGCAGCGCTGGCGGCAGCAATAAAAGCGAGGGCGATCACCAACTACAGAGAGAAATATGAATTGTATAAGTTAATGGGTAAATTATATCTTGTTTTTTATCATTGTTTTTTTTAACTTTAAGTCCTTGCGGAACATATTTTTTAAATATTATGCACACACACACACACACCTTATAGGCCATTGTTTTTTAAAGTTTTGTTTAATCACTAAATCGTTCTTTACACTTGGTGTAGTTAATACTGAGTGTGTCTTTTTCCAAGAAAGGGTCGTCAATTTATACTAAAAATTATTAATAATTTTTTCCACACTATCCGGTACTTCCTCATTAATATTCATAACGGCATTTAATAATAATATTCAATTGACTTTCTTGTTCCCATGCATTAGCCAAACCATATTTATCTAAATAGTATTTGGTAATATTACATTTGCTATTAAAAATCCGGTAAATACCCAAAAAATATTTCAAAGAAGTCTTCCACGATTGATTAAAAAAATATTGGTAAAATTACCAAAAAATAAATATTTTGGCGTATGTGCAACTACTGGCTGACGGTATCGAAATGAAAAATATGATAAACCTTGATTGATTTTATAACATTTCCAAATATGTCACCTATTGTGCTGAACGTTGAGAAAACTTTTGGTTTTGTTTGGGAAACAGTTTTGGGTCATTGAATTATTACCGACAGTTCATGAGCCACTAACTGACTTATTGCCACCCAAAGAAGAAGAAATACATTTTATACGAACAATTTGTATATTTTTATACAATTTGTATATCCATATACAGAACGGCAGGATGATTTTGATTTAAATTGTACACTAAATAAGCAACAGCAGCATATCGGAGGACAGACAGTGGTAAAGGGTGTCATATCGTCAACAGCGCCGTTCAAAAACATTTTTATTGAGATTATCAGGATAAAGATTTACAAATATTGGTGTTTTGGTCAGAGAACGTAACGGTTATAACTTATATCAAATCAGGTAAAAAATAACTGTTATTTTGTGACCTAAATAAAAAAATCCACTTTAATTATTTATTTTTTAACGGAAAAAATAAACGCTGATTTTTAACTGTTAAAAATGATTTTTATTTTTTTCGTCAAAAATAAAAGTCTTTTTGGGACTTTTATTTTTTCCGTCAGAAAATAAAAGTCTTTTTACGTAAATAAACATATAGAGCTTGGTACCAGTTATATAACCTTTGACCTAATAGTCAGGGGAATGATTCTTTAATTTATATTCATGATTTGGTACACTAGACTATTTTTTAAAAATGTATAACAAATATTTTTTACCTTTGATCTTGATTACTTATGTGTACACTTATTGTAATAAGGACAGAGATTTATAAATTGTAGTTTTATAACTGATTACAAGTTGTATAAACTTCTTTACATAAAAAGAGTTTTATTTCCTGACGGAAAAAATAAAAATCCCAAAAAGACTTTTTTTTTTTGACGAAAAAAATAAAAATCCCAAAAAGACTGTTATTTTTGACAGAAAAAATAAAAGTCCCAAAAAGACTTTTATTTTTGACGGAAAAAATAAAAATCATTTTTAACAGTTAAAAATCAACGTTTATTTTTTCCGTTAAAAAATAATCCTTAACATGGGAACTGAGAGTGTTTTCTCAAGATCACTAAATATCCTTAATGGGCTCCTCAATACGAATCTATTGGTATATGACACTATTGGTGTCCCATGTCTCTAACATGAAGATTTTTTTGTTCGCATTTTAAAAAATAACTGTTATTTTCGGTCCCTGGTTTTGGTCGAAAATAAGGGATATTCAAACAAATAATTTTTTAGGTCCGCTGTTTTTTCTAATTTGTTAAATAATATTTTGTACATGAATCTCAAAGTGAGGACTGTCTAACGAATAGCTTTAGGACTCTGAGGGTTTGAATTTAATTTCGCAAAAAAAATAAAGCAAATGGAAAACCTTTTATTTAATTACTAGTATATGCCCGCTAATTTGTTAACGAATGTGGGAAGTATTTCAAATCCAATACTGACCATTATTAAAATTTTAGAACCATTTAGTACCTATGTTCTCATATAGCACGTATTTCCAAAACTACCCTTCAACTCTACACACCAATTCTGTGCTCAACAAAAATGTAGCTTTATACTTTATACTTTCTTACCTTGACACTCTTGTAATACTTATTTAAAAAAATTCCAAATTGCAAATATAGGTTCACCCAAATCCAATATTTGTACCAGATAGTAAACATTATTATAAATTTCCATAACTACCAACTTTAACAATCATATGTAAAAATTTTCAAATCTTCCCACATACCGCAATCTTAATTCCAAATTTCCGAATTTTATGGGTTCACCTAAATCCTATTGGTATCAAATTATGTACAATTTAGTAGACATAAGTTCAAATTTCCATTCCTACCATTTCAATGCAATCCAATGGAAGTCTTATCACTAGAGTTGGGCAATCTAGTTCACTTAGCAGATCGATCTTTCTCGTTCCTTTTTTTTAAAATGATCTAGTTCCTTAATGTAGATCCTTTGCTGCATATAGTTCCTTTATTCCATACAGTTCCTTTGCTCCAAAAAACTCTTTTGCTCCATATAGTTCCGACTCCTACATAGTTCCTTTGAATCTCTCTCTCTTTCATCTTTTTTTTTTTTTGCTCACATAGTTCCGTTTTTATTTCTTAATAAATGCAAAAATTTTGAAAAAATTAAATGAAGCTACAGAATTAAACTGCAGGACGATAAACACAAAATGTTTTTTATGAATAAATAAAAATATTTAAAACAAAATAAGTCGGACGGGGTCGACTATATGATACCGTTCACCACTTTGGATACATACAAGAGATGCTAATATACACAATATCCTCTCGATAGAACAGACATCTAATCTTTAGAGGACCATTGAAATGGAATGGGGCGAAACTAAATGTGTAGATCACACATAGATATGTGAACCAAGTTAAATACGCAATGCACATACCATTCTGAAATCTATGAAAAATTGTATGACAATCGGATTCATTTGTATACCATTTGTATGTAAATGTAAATATGTAAATCTGGACCTAATTGAGCAACCATTACATATGCCTTTGGTATGCTGCATCACAGTGCGCTATTTACAATTTTATCTCGTGTATATGGAACAGACGGTATAGGGGAGATATATGGAAATATGAGCCGATGTTCACAAAACTCCGTTTACATCAATGTGGACCTATTTTAATACGCGCTGCAAAATGTTGTCTCAATCGGAAACATTATGGAAGGTTTGGTGCACCATTTACCAAAAATTGGACGAATCTATATATGAGAGCTATATCTAAATCTGAACGTATTTCAAAAGAACTTCATAAACATCAAACAGTACCTACTTCAGTAGGCTGTGCAAAATGTTGGCCCAATCGGAAAATATTGGAATTTTGGTGCACCATTTACATAAAATCTGACGAAACTATATATGGGAGCTATATCTAAATCTGAACCGATTTCAACAAAACTTCAAGTACATCAAGCTGGACATTATTCAGTACGACAAAAAATTACGAGTTTGGTGCACAATTTACGTAAAGTCGGACAAAACTATATATGGGAGCTATATCTAAATCTGGACCGATTTTTACAAAACTTCGCATACATCAATCAGGACCTAATTCAGTGCACTTTGCTAAATTTTGTTTCGGTTCACCAATATTAAATTTGGTACCATTCGGTTCACCAATATTAAATTTGGTACCATTAAGTACCATTAGCGCGAATTCCCAAAACTTCCTACAGACCCTAATGCTACACCCAAACAATCATCCCCACTCCAAATTTCAGGATTCCACCCAAAATTCAAATTGTACCAGACTTAGTACAATTTAGTGCCCATAAGTATGAATTTGGAAAACTACATCCATACCCCAATCTTAGATTCCAACAGTAATCTTATTTTCAAATTTCAGTGCCCCAGCTCTATCAGTTAACCCAAATCCACAAATTTCAGGATCACATCTCAATATGTTCACGTAGTACCCACGTAGTAGTGGATGTAGTTTTGGAAATCCATACGTATGGGTGTATGGATTTCCAAAACTACATCCACACCCCAATCCTATACTCCAATAGTAACCTTATTTCCAAATGTCAAGGTCTCCAGCTCTATTGGTTCACCTCAAATTTAAATTGTACCAAATTTAGTACACATTAGTATCTAAAGTATTCTACAAAGCTCTATCCTTCACCTCAACTTAATCGGTTCAACCAAATCCACATTTGGTAACATTACCACAAATTTCCATAACTTCATAAAATTTAAATTGTACCAAATTTAGTTCACATTCTACCCCCCAACAGTGATCCGAACTCCAAATGTAAAGATTATAGCTCTATGTATTCACCAAACTCCAAATGGCATACCATTTAGTACACATTTGTACGAATTTTCAAAATTTCCTACATACATCAACAAAATTTCAAGTTTTTAGCTTTTTTTTGTTCAAATGGTACGAAATTGTACCAAATTTAGTAAGTTTAGTACTTTTCGAATACTTTTAGTCAGAATGTCCAAAAACCATGTGCAAGATCTATTCTACACTCTATCAGTGAACCTCATTTCAAATTAAAAATTCTAGCTCTACCGGTTCGCCCCCAACAGTGATCCTAACTCCAAAAATCAAGATTGCAGCTCTATCGGTTCACCAAAATCCAAATGGGGCACCATTTAGTACACATTGGTACGAATTTTGTACGAAATTGTACCAAAATTTAGTACAGTTTAGTACTTTTCGAATAACCAAAAACCATTTGCTACATCTATTCTACACTCTATCAGTGACCCTCATTTTATCTTTACCAAATACATACAAATGATACCAGATTTACTACTTTTAGTGCCGTTTTCTAAAAACCCAATCTGACACCTTTGGACTCACCGCAGATTTCACGATTCTAGCTTCAGCGGTTTCGTCTGGGTGTTGATAAATCGTTATGTCAGTCAGCAAGTGAGTCAATCACTTTACTCTTTTATTAGTATAGATTATTCGAAGTAGTATTTCCCAACAAAATTCTTCTTTGCAGACAATTTTCAATATAGATCCATATTTTGATACTTCATCTTCTTCCCATTATGAGAATTTTAAACAATTTTGTCGCATTTATAGTTTAAATTTAATCCCCATTTAATGTGCT